CCCATACCAACCGCCAGATGGCGGCTATTGCCGTTAAAAACTTATTTGACGAACAGCTCCCTATCAGCAACCTGGAGTTAATGGCTGCGGGTACGACTTCACCCGAACAGTTATTACCTTCTCATGCGGTGATGATACATGGCGAGCTGGGTACCCACCCCATGGAGATCGTATCTACAACCGGTGCCTGCTGCTGCAGTATGCAGGCCCTTAAATATGCCTACATGTCTATTGGCGCCGGCATGACCAATGTGGCGGCGGCTGTAGGTTCCGAAAAGCTGAGTACCTGGATGCATGCTTCCCGTTTTCAACCGGAAGCCGATAACCTGCACCATCTTGAAAAAGATCCTTATATCGCCTTTGAAAAGGATTTTCTTCGCTGGATGTTAAGTGATGGTGCCGCTGCTGCTTTATTACAAAACGAACCGAATAAAGAAGGTATTTCGCTTAAAGTAGAATGGGTGGAGATCACCTCTTTTGCTAATGAAATAGAAACCTGCATGTACGCAGGTGCTATCAAAAATGAAGACAAATCGCTGACACCCTGGAACGATATGGATATGGCGGAATGGGGCCACCAGAGCGTATTTTCATTAAAACAGGACACAAAGTTGCTGGGTGAAAACATCATCTTACAGGGCCGCAATTTCCTGGAAAAGATCATTGCTAAATACCAGCTTACCGGCGACCAGATAGACTATTATCTGCCCCATATGTCCAGCGAGTTTTTTAAAAAACAGATTGATGACGGCCATAAGATCCTGGGCATAGATATTCCGATGGAAAAGTGGTTCTACAACCTGCCGCGGGTGGGCAATGTAGGCAGCGCTTCCCCCTTCCTGATGCTGGAAGAACTGTTCCATAGCGGCCGGTTGAAAAAGGGTGAAAAAATATTGGTAATGGTTCCCGAAAGCGCACGGTTTTCTTACGCGTACATCTACCTGACCGTCGTTTAACACTGCCTGTTTATGAAACCGAATATCCTGGTATTGTATTATACGCAAAGCGGTCAGCTTCGTGAAATACTGGATCATCTTACAGATGAGATCCGGCATGAAGCCACGTTTACATTTGCTCCCATTGAGCCGGAAACCCCTTTCCCGCTTCCCTGGAAAGCCAGTGCGTTTTTTGATGCGATGCCGGAAACCGTACTACAGCTTCCGATACCCATTAAGCCTTTATCGCCCGAGGTGGTACAGCAAAACTATGACCTGGTCATTTTAGGCTACCAACCTTGGTTCCTGCATCCGTCTCAGCCGGTTAATGCATTCCTGAAAAGTGAGCATGCTTCTATTCTGAAAGGCAAGCCGGTGGTTACGGTGATCGGTGCGCGGAATATGTGGCTCAATGCCCAGGAAAAGGTAAAAGAAGACCTCCTGCGGATTGGCGCCAACCTGGTAGGAAATATCTCACTG